AAAAAAAAAAAAAAAAAAAAAAAAAGAAAAAAAAAACATCTTTTGAGCTAATGGGACCCGGGTTTAAAATATTTGGACATTTCGATTTATAAATTTTATGAAAATGTCCGGTGAAAAATATAAAAGATGTATGAAAAGAAAGTGAACATTTTATAGTAAGCTAAAATGTTTTTTCATATCACAATTTCATGTCTTCTCTACCGTGTAACAAAAATGTCGATTAATTTTTTATCCCAAGATGGGATAGGTTGTTTCACGGGTCGGCATTTTGAATTTGCATTTTTTAATGTATAAATTCACAATTACCCGACGCGCCATCGGGAAAACCTAAACTTATGGGGTCGAGACCTAGTAACAGCGAGGGGACATGGATATTTTATGATGATCAATGAATACCAAAGGAGACTTATTTTAGACTTCAGTCACATCCGAGACCTCTCTCGGGTCTCGGGGTTTCAAACTTGTCTTAAATGGACAACCACCAAAACAAAGACTTAATCCTTAAAAAATATATTTAAGAAAAAAAGGAAAGAGGTTCAAACTCAAACTTTAAAAGAAAAAAAGTTAATAAGAGTGGGGCTAAATTGAAGGGTTGACTTCAAAAAATACAGGGACTAGAACATATTTAAGAACTTTAGTTTCTACCATCATTTTTCAAAATCCCTAAGTTTCATGTTACACGAGACAAGAACCACAAGGTTCAGAAATTTAAACAAGAGCATTGTAACGACCCAAATTCACCACTAGCAGATATTGTCCTCCTCCTCCCCAACTAACGTGGGACATATAACCATAAAACCAGTTAATCTGAGCAAGCATTTTCTAAATCATATACAGGCCTCCCTAATCCAAATTCCAAGCATTTTTAACATCATTAGTTTCTGGGTTTTTAGAAAAATTAGCGGGCTTCTTAAAACTTGAAATATTTTTTACTCACCTAGAATAGCTTCGGCTATAGCTACGACTCCTGCTCCGGCTGTAACTTAAGCCCCTTGAATCATATGGTGACCTTGAGTAGGATTGCTCCCTGTACCTCCGTCCCCTTGGAGAGATTGACCTATTTCACATAAAATGAGATTAGAATAAACCACCCTTGCCCTCTCCTCCTCCTAGTGATTCAATAATCATAATGGGAAAAAAAGTACAAATTATGACCGCCTACCTTGAGTATCGTCTAGGGGGATAATACTCTGGACTATGTGAATTTTTTCGACCAGAGTGCGGTGATTGTGAATATCGCAGGGGGGAACGCTTGTAACTGTAGGACCGACCCCTGATAACAATTTTATGCATGAACAATACTAATGAGTATTGATATTTACAATTAATAAAGGATTTCCCAAAAGATGGACAATAGATTGATAAGAAAAAGAAAACAGACTGTAATGGTGCATCAGCTGAGTAATTGCTGCTATCAGCCAGAAACTTTTCACATAACAAAAAAAGGAGACAAAAAAGAGAAGGCCAAGGATAAAGTACACCACGCCAGAGGCAATTTTGAATCAAGCATACAACTTTTCTTTCCCCTAAAAGTATACACGATGATGGGTGTCAAATGGCTGAAGTCAATTTACTCAAGTAATTCACTTCAATGTTGATGGAATCAAACCTCAGGCTGGATTTTTCTCCAAGAAATGGAAACTCAAGATACCTAAAGTGGAAAAACCTTTTATTTGGTCCGTTTTTTCATGGTAAGTTCAACACTCAATCACATTCAAAAGAAAACCCAGACAAAGTCTCAATCCCTCATTTCTGTTCTACAAGAAAAAATTGAGATGAAATTCTTCAAGACTTGAACTTCTCAATGTATTCAAACCCAACTTCCACCAAATCTTCATGCACACATTAAGTCACCAGAACTTACTGGAATGTCTTCAACACAATAAACAAATTACTTGCTTCTTGTCTTCCACAAGATACTCTTATTAATTCATTGGTTCTCTTCAACACTTTATTAAAAACAACCAAACTCCATAAATGGATTGTATGTTATTGGAAAACCAAATAATCGAAAACAGAGGAACCAATTCCACATCATTAAGCAATCAATAGAAATAACCATCCAGAAAATATATTCACAAATATATAGATCATATGCGTACAAAATTAAGGGACTAAAATGAGTTAAACATACGGGAAAAAAAGTCCATACATACAAAGCAAAAGAACAATCTTCAAAAGTATGCCTACCCAGAATAATAATCTCGTGGCAAGTAAATGTCCTTAAGCGGACCAAACCGCCCAAATAATCCACGTAGGTCCTCTGGCCTGCAAAACAAGTGCAAATGAAGACATATACCAGCTCAATGCAGAACAAAAGCAAACACATTTTCCTTTATTCCTTTGTTCCTTTTCTTAACGGAAGTGGTTTTTTTTCTCAATTTGAAAATACAAAAGACAACCACCCAAGTAATATACAATATAAAACACTTTACAAAAGAAAATAAATTATGATCTTCGAACTTGCAAGATCTCCTTCCTTCAAATAATAACAATAAAAACAAATAAATAAATAAAACTAGATGCAAGCAGAAAAATTAATCAACCAGAGAACATTTTTACTTGCAAAAGATACCATTTCTTTGTACTTCAACAAATATATAATTTAAGTACCACATACAGCATATCCTAGCATTGTCCTTAGCATGCATGTAATAAATGTGATGAGAAACGAAGAACCAAGACATAATTGTATGTATAAAAGACGCAACGGGTGAAATAGCCATGAAATATAAATTGCAGTAGCAAACCTGCAGTCGTGCCTTAGGTTCCTAACCAAAAGACTTGTTGGCAGATACGTACTACGACCTCCACAATCCCTTGGACTAGGGCTACGATGTCTCCTGCCATAAATCCTTGGTGGTGATGGACTGTAACTTCTACCTCTCATTCTCAATTTCCTACAACAACAACAGGGAAATTAAAACAAATCATGGGTGTTTATAAACAACAAATAGAAGTGCAGAACATTAAGATGCATATATAATTCTAGATTTGTAACACATCAATCAGCAAGCTACCACTCAAAATAAATAGTCAGAGGGGCGATCATTCATTACCAAACATGATATCCACTAAATATATATTTGTGATCAACCATAAACAGCCTAAGAAATTTTATCAAAAGTAATACTCGAACACAACTTTACCTTCGATCGACAATAAACAGCCCAAGAAAATTTATCAAAAGTAATACTAAACTTTTCCTTCGATCATCTGCTCCAATATTTCTGCAGAACAAAAGAGATCTACTTCGGAGAAATCAAAATGTTTGCATGCTGCCATACAGCGAAACAAACGGATCTCAAGGAAAGATCAATTCTCATAGTGCGATGACGACAAATAGAAAAACTCGGACATGGTTGCAGCCTTTTCACGTCAACTGTTCTTGGAACGTGATCAAATGGATAGCAAACAAAATTCGGCATTAAAAGATTAAAAAAAAAAAAAAAAAACTCGTGCATACTTCAACTATAACATCCGCATTGCTTGAACCAGAACTCGTTTTCATCCAATCTACGTTAGAGAAAATATTGACAGATACAAAAAGTAAGCAAAAAAAAGAAGGGGGAGGTTGGAGAAGAAGAAATCGAAAACCTGAGAGAAATCAAATGGAGCCCCTACTATTCAATCTGGAAGAACAAAATTCTTCGATCCTCCTTGGGCTTCAGCCTTCTCTGCCTCGAACGCCCTCAAACGTTGAGAAATTTCTCTCGGCCTTGATTTTATACTTCGCGGGTCTATCGATTCTTTGTGGGGACTGTTTTACGATCATTTGTCGGATGGAGATGGACGATTATGCTTGACCGAAAATACAGGTATAAATATATTTACCATTTTTAAATGTTCTCTAATATTCTTATTATTTATTTAATGGATATTTGAAATTGATTGTAGTAGTAATTTTAGAGAAAATGATTTATTAAAATTCATTTTCACACAACCATTTGGATCGCTATATGAGTAAAGTTCGAGACTGATTTTAGGAGTGATTTTTTTTAAAAATAATTATAATTACTTTTGTGAGAGTATTTAATTATAAAATATTTTAATATACGGTTCCACATTGTAAAAAAGAAACATTCTGATTTCTTCAAAAGTATTCTTGTATGATTAATGTTTATTTCCAAAAATAATTTTGAAATCGTAAAAAAAAAAACATTACATTTAAAATATTTTAGATTGACCAGAAATCACTTAAAATACTCACGGCTACAAAATGAAGCTAGCACAATTATGAAGGAAAATGAGTCCATTAAAACCCTGAAACGAGGCAACTAAAGTAGTAGCCCATCGCTTAGCTAATGTACAGAGATTTTGCTTTACTAGCCACCCTTTTTCTCTCTATTTATCTCCACTTTCAGTTGATAACAGTATATATTTGTAGATACTACAGTAAAAATTGTATAATAGGCAGCATCAATAGGGAAGAAAAAAACACATTTATTCACCTGTACAGCTACCGCTCTGCTCTTTAGAGGGTAAGAAATGCAACTTTGAGGAGTTGCCAGCGTTTTAAGATATAACAACAGTTACACTGAGCAGTCTGTAAAATAACATCGTAGTTGTGTGTGTTGCCACCCCCTCAATAAGTACAGAATAGTGTGTGGAGGCACCGAAGGCATAGACCCATATAAGCTTTTGCGATCATGTATTCCAATTCCAAAGCTTTGTGACATGGAAAGTCAAATGAGTTATTACTAATTGAGGGCATAATGAATTCTTTCAAGGAGTTGCACGACCTGATTGATGGGGATGGATACAGGCTTCGACTTTGAGCTCGGCTTTGCAGAGCCAACAGATGACGATAATACCGATTCCTGTTGCATGCTTGTAAGTTCCAAGAACTGAGTCAGTATATCACCATCGAGTATTTTCGGTACTCCAATCTGAAAAATCAAAACAAACAACCCCAGAAGCAAGCAATTTCATTAGAAGAAGGGGGGGGAAAGCTATAAGATAGCGAAGGCATAAGATTTATAATAAGAACAGGAGTCTTAAGACAACAGAAACACATAAAACCCAATGAATATTGTATGATTTTGTGCATCAATTTTTGTCGAGCCAATTACAGAAAGACTCGGTACTAGCCAAAAGATGTGCTCTCTCTCACCATAACAACATACAGAATAACCAACTCATTCCGAAAACAATTATCTTAACATGGGTAGACAGACAGGCAGGCGGGTACTACAAATCCCTCCTAACATGTCTACACCTCAGTCTCTTTAACTCGCACATACTCGCATATAGTTTTCCACAACCTTTCATATACAAGATAACCAACTCGTTCCTTGAATCTAAATTGGGCCATAGGTAGGCCCCACAAATTCCTCGTGATATGCCTACATCTCACAGCCTCTTATACTATTACTTAAAGAATGACCAAAATTCTAAACAATAAATCAACGGATATAAAATAGTGGGTCAAACAGATTTTCCCCTTCACATAAAATAAATGAAACTAAAAGGAGTTTTTTCTTAAAAGAGACAAATGTATATTAATCACAAAGAGTTCAAATATATTTGGTTTCCAACACAGATATCATCACAATCTTGACAGAAATCACTAAAAACGCAAGTAACGGACCCAAACACGTGACTGGAGTACTAGACTATTAAGTCTCATTGATAATAGCATGGCACTACGGAAAAAATAAAATAAACAAAACATCCATCTCTTACCGGATTTTCACGACTACGATACTCATTATGATCATTCCCCAGAATTGGGCAAGTTAGTGGATGAACTGCAAGTTTAGCTTGGACAGCTTCCAAAAGTTCATACTCATCCCTGAAAAACCAGAATGAATAGGCATTCATTGAGATACACCCACATAATATTGATGGAAGGACCAAAACCCACATAATATTCATTGAAGTTGATAATAAATGTTAGATGAAAGCATGAAAAAAAGACACACCGGAAGAACCTTGTGACTCATATCACCAGGTGCACGATATAAAATATTATCAGTTAAGATATGTTTACTAAGCAAGAAAGAAAATGGAGAACAAAACAGAGGAACATCCATCCCCCCGAAAAAATTCATAAATAAATAAATAAAAGAAAAAGGAAGAAGATTAATGGGTAGAAACTAGAATGAGTTCCCTACCAAAGATGTAGTATCCTACCACCATTATTCAAGTGATCCTACTGGGGCAAACATCTTTTGCTTGAATGTACTCCGTCTTTTGCCCTCCACTCAATTATTTCCCAAAATATTTAGAAGGCTTACCTAATTGGCTTATCACCCAACCAATCCAATCCAGATACATCTCCCTCTAGAGTAAATAATTTCTCAAGCTTGATTGTGCGAATGTGGTGTATTACTTGATTTTATGCTCAAAACCTCATTTCTATGGATCTCCCCAGTTGAAACCTCGTTTCATAAATCAAATGTTAAGGCAGAGGTAACAAACTAAAATTTTGAGTAATTTTTCTAAAAAATGCTGCCATTCACAACCTAAATAGTGACTATTTGGTAGAGAAAATATGCATTTCTTCAAGTTAATCTACAACTCGTTATTTCAGATACAAGAAACCGTTAGGTAAATATTATAAATCGATGTCTCGAAATAAGCAGCCCACAAAAGTTTGAACGCCATGAGCAGAATACAAAAGAGGATCCCCAAATCAGAATCTGCCTTCCCCCACCTCACCCCAAGCAGCCACCGCCACCATAACTTCCTCCTATCTATGTACACATTCAGCTTACACTATATCTTGTGTGTGTACCACCCCAAACATTCCCTTCTAACCATCTTTCCGCCCCAAAGCTACCATAATTGTCTAACAGTACGTAAGCTAAAATTGAGATAGCTGACGGCGTTGAAAGATGGAACAAAAACGTCCCCTTTTTTTTAAAGAGAAATTGACATTCGATAGATAAAAATAATGCAGTAAAACCTATGCAAGTCTGCACTTTCATTCAAGGAAGGTGAATGGAACATGAAAGCATCAACGGTATGATCAGAACATGTACCTCGATAGAGGAGTGAAGATTACAATGCTCCCTAATAATGTACTGGCAATGATAGTGTTGTGTGATGAATCAAAGTCAGAGCCAGGGACAGTACAACCTCTCAACAAATCATCAGCTGGAAGTTTGTATGAAAATGAACCCTACAAGTAAGAATGCAAAGGAGAAAAAATGATTGAGGGCAGCTGCTATAAACTGAACGATGGATATCACCAAGGAAAAAGTAATTTTCCAGGCATGTCATGTAAAACAAGTTTCTTCCACGTGAAATCATGATAACAATCCCCCCGCACTAAACTTAAAATGTTAGAATCTCATCATAGATGACAATGGGAAAACTTAGAAATCTTGAAATTTTTTAGTTTTTCCTGCTTTCAATTGAATTATGAATTAAATGCAAGATAATCCTATAAAAATAAAGTTTCACTAAGATCCACATCCACTTGCTTTGACCTTTTTATAAAAGTATTATGCAATAACGAAATATTCTGAAACCTATTCAAATAGAATATCACTAGAATTTTCATGTAATATCTCGCATAGGGCAACAACATACTTTCCTCAAGGTCATGGCAATTTCACCCATGTAATACGCACAGTTCAGCGTTAAGTTGCATTCTGGGCTTGCATTATCTGGCAATAGAAAATAAAAAGTAAACACCATTCTCAATTTAGCCACAATGCAAAAATGCAAGAGATAAAAAGCACGCACCATTTTCTATTTAGCCACAAGGAATAAATACAAGTGAAGTTCGGGTGAAACAGAAATTGGTAAAGGAAATTTACTATTCTGCGTATGAATCAATTGGCCAATATACAGATGACGTAAAGTCTTTGAGTTAACAATGCTAAAATGGTAACTACCAATTAACTTTAAACTCCTACAGAATAGTGTTGCAATCATGTTAACCAGCTATAGTGGGTAATACTCAGCAGTAATTGAAAAAAGAAATTATATACTATATGAAATCCATTCCTCGTCCATATTGGCTCTCACCAAGAATCTGACAATGAATTTGCATCTAGCCCTCTACCCCTCTCCACAGCCCCACCATCTCCCACCGTGGGTATGGCCAACCTCTCTCTCCCGTCCCTAGAGATTATTCTTGCGGATTCAGAGCTTGACACTCTTTTTCAGGAAAAACAGAATGAAACAAAAGTAGAAGAGGTCACCCCAGTACCGGTGACACTCACACCAACAATGGCCATCCAAATCTTGGCACCATGGCTAAAAGAACACCACATGTGCATCATGGCTATCCCAT